TCCGTCTTGTCCTCTGCTGCGTTGGACTCCTCCTTCCTCTTGTGGCTGTCGGGCTCGGCATGCAGCAGCTCCGCCTCCGCAACGCTTTTGCCTTTCTTCTCGCTATCCTCGTTCTCAAAGGTCTGGCTGGTAGAAGGCGAGCTTCCCCTCTTGGTAGGTTTAGCCTTGTTCTTCGCGGAGGGGGTCTCGTTCTCGTTGTCGTTTGCGCTCCTTGTACTCTGCTTGCGCTTGCGGGGCTTGACGTCCGTGGACTCGAGCTCCACCTTAGCATCCGCCTTGTCGCCCTTCCTGACGTTGCCCTCGTCGCTCTGCTCAACCTTGCCCTCCACAGCCTTCACCTTGCTCAAGTTCTTACCCGGCTTAGTGCCTGCTGCGCCAGAAGCCTTCACCTCGTTCTTCTCCGGCACGCAGCTCTTCCCCTCAGCGGAGTCCGTCTCCACCTCAGCGTCCGCCTTGCTCGCGATGTTAGCAGAAGCCTTTGCCTCTTTCTTTCCCGGCTTCGCGCCGGCCGCAGCAGAAGCGTTCATCTTCTCCGGCTTGGGGGTCTTGCCATCAGTCGACTCCGCCTCCACCTCAGCGTCCGCCTTGCCCGCAAGAGCGTTGTGCTTCTTGACGTGGCCCTCGTTGTTCTGCCCGACCTTGCCCTCCGCAGCCTTGCCAGAAGCCTTCACCTCGTTGTTCTGCGGCTTGCTGGTCTTGGCGCCAGAGGATTGCGGCTCCACCTCAGCATCCGCCTTGTCGCCCATCTCGTCGTTCGCGACATTGCGACCGCGGCCTCGACCACGGCCACGGCCGCGGCCTTTGCCGGCTTTCTTCGGGGCTTGCAACTTTGGGTCCTCATCGACGATGTCGGGATTGTGCTCTCCGTCTTCGTCTTCACTTCCATCTTCTGCTTCCCCAGCCGTTGCCGTGCCAAGCTGCTCGCGACGAGTGACAAGTGGCACCTGTGTCTGAGCTACCAAGCTAAACCCTTTCAACGAACTTCTTGGCAAACGCTGTTTGTCAAAGTACGCCCAAGATTTTGTTCAACGGGATGCAAAATTGTAGGCCAGCTAGGAAGCACACCTCCAACACCCCTTGTGTGGAACACCCCTTCACGAGACCCCAGCCTCCAAGGCCAGCAAGTTAACCTTGTTCCCAGAAGACACCGTTGAAGGAGTGGTGCTCGTGGTCATCTTGGCGGATGACGAGTCGGCGGGGTGCCCAATGAGCTCTTGGGACCCGCTCGCCACATCCTCGGGCGTTGGTTCCTGCGAGTTTGACTTCAGCTGGCTCTTGGACTTGGACTCGGGGGTCTTTTGGGTCATCTCATGCAGCGCGCCCAAGGACAAGGTAGTAGAAGAAGCAATGGAAACAGGCGACTGCGGCATACTCTGAGCACGGGCCAAAGCGCTGTCCAAGGCCATCTCGTTCATAGGCAAAGTTTCCATGTTGTCCGTGACCCCGCCTTGCCAATTGGCTTGCAGGTCCGTATTTGAACTTTCCCGCAAACGCAGAGAATCCGTTTAACCTCAAACAGTTGCTTTACCAGCCCAGTAGCGCCCCAAATCGCTGGCGACGCTCTGGAGGCGCCGCAATCGGTTCTGGTCCAGCTGTTGCCTAGAAGAAGTCGGCGCCCCAAAATCAGGGCCACTCACTAATCCGCGAACATGTTTGGCTGAAGGGTGTAAGGAAGGGGGCAACAACGAAAAATGCAGAGGCAGCGGCAGTAACAGCTGTAGTTGTACAGCGGTTGTTTCGATTGATGTTGCTGGTGGTGGGTGTCGTTGCCTTTTAAATTTGTGTCTTTGCTTTTGTTACGTTGTTGCTGCGGTTGTTGCTACAGTTGTGCGGTTGTGGGTGTCGCTGGTTGGTTGTTGCGCTTGTTGCGGTTGTTGTGCTTGTTGTGGTTGTGGTTGTTGTGGTCGTGGTGTTCGTTGTCGATGTCGATGTCGTTGTCGTCGTTGTCGTCGTCGCCGCTGCTGCTGCTGCTGTTGTGGTCGTGGTGGCGGTGCTGGTGCTGGTGCTGGTGCCGGCGCTGGCGCTTGTGCTTGTGGCGGTGGCGGTGGTGGCGGTTGTGGTGGTGGCGGTTGCGGTGGTGGTGGTGGTGGTGGCGATATTGCAGATGCTGTTGATGTTGCTGTTGCTGCAAATGGTACTGCTGCCGTTGATGTTGTTGTCGCTGTTGCTGTTGCTGTTGGTGCTGCTGTTGCTTGCTTGTTGTTGGTAATGATGGCGCTGATGATGCGGCGGCGTTGTTGCAGTCGTTGCTATGCTTGCCGTTGCGCGTGTTTTGCTGTTGGATGTTTGATTGCTTTTGCTGTAGTTCTTGTCCTTGTTGCGCTGCAGCTAGTTTAGACGTTGCTGCTCGCTATTGCCCAGATTTTGGACAAGGGGAGCCCCCGCCTGACCAAGGCCATCCTTGCAAGCAGCTCCTCTCGGCGATTCGCCTCACTGGCGCTGTCCATTGGCCCGGGCTCTTGGTTGAGGTCAGTGTGCTCTACTGCAGCTGGCTTGAGAGGAGAGTCGGGCGCACCCTTTGTGTTGGAATCAGCAAGGGCCCCCATGAGTTGATGTTGAAAGGTGTCATCATCAAGGTCGTCCCCTTCCAAGCTTCCAGATTCATGAGCCCCAAGGGATTCACCATCAGCTGGATGCTCGCAATCCACGGCCCCGCTGTAACCATCATCAGCCACATTGTCAATTTGGCCATCTTCTAAGGCCAACATAACGTCGCTGTCAGCCGAATCACCCCCCATTTCGGGTTCTTCCCACGCATCAGTCAATGCCTGCCAAAACTCTGCCAGCTGGGGGTCCTAAGATTGATAGTGGGCATCAGAACGGGGCAGCGCTAGAGGGAACTTGTTTGTGTCAAGGAAGTTGAAGGTAAACTCAAAAAAACAAGAACCGTGCCAAGCATCTCTGGGACGTTGGGCGCCACTTAGCCATCGTCGGAGGCCGTGACTAAATAAGCGTTTTAACCCCCATGAGTCCACCCCGATGAAGCCAACCGGTTGGCCCATGAGCCGCCTGAATGCCGTGACCTAGTGTGGGGAGGTGGGCGATGTCAAAGACTGGGTTGCTTTAGCGAACTTGTCACACAACCCCCAACTCTTTTTGAAATCGAAAGGCTAAACGAGACAAAGGACTTGGGCACGCATTGTGCCAATTGGAATGCACTTTGGGGTGGGCTGTCGGGAAACCCACCATCGCGTGACCACCATCAGTGCACGCAAGTTTAATGTCATTGCACGCATCGATGGCAATGACGTTGTCTCAACCGAAGGCCACTCCGTGATTTGTCCCGCATTTCGGGCGCGGCGTCTTATGCTCGCGTCGGCTTCCAACATGGCAGAAAGCTCCATTTTATTGGTCTAGTCTCGAACTTGAAACAGCGGTAATGTGCTTTGATCCAAAAACCGCCCCGCCCTTCCCAACAAGAGGTCCTGCAGAAGGTCAGGATGCACCAAAACCCCGCAAAAACATCGGGCAGCAAGAAGCCTGCCCGCAGGATTCGGGAGATAGGTCTTGAGAAGTGAAATATCGATAGAGTAGAAGGAAACTATCTCATCGGGCCTCCAAAGCCTTCTCAGAAGGCCAAGAAGGCAACCAGGCATCACATGGCATCACCATTGTACCTGCCGAGGCCGAGAAGACAAGTCTGCGAGGAGGAAAAAGGAAAAAGGGGCGCACAATATCAGGCTTGGCCAGATGCGGCCGGGCAGGTAAGCCCAAACGGCTCGGCAAACGAAAATCCCTTGAAAAGCTTCAGATAGCACCGGCCCCCAAAAAGCGCTCGAGAGCAGAAAAGATCGCCGCCAAGATCACAAACCATGTTTTCCCCCAAACAGCAAAAATTTAACATAGTTGGGAATATGCAGGTATGACAAATAGGAAAGGAAGAAACAAAGCTCGAATGAATTCGCACAGCTACTGGCCATCTAGCCACCCCGAGCAAGCCACTCGATGGACTAGGAGGACAGTGAAACTATGGATGCCTGGTTCCGGACCCCTTGTAACGGAAGACATGTGTTTTGGTTCGGATGACAAACCAAATCGGTGAATTTCAGGTTCTCTAGTTTTAATCTGAAGGCCTAAGACAAAATGGGCGGAGCTGGAAGCAAATTCGCCCCAAATGTCCATCGAACCCGTAGCAACTATCCGGCCGCCCTGAGAAAAGAGTGAGTTGGAGCCCCTGGGGTTTTGGAGTGGCCGAAGAGACAAGACCCAGACAAAAGAAGTCCTTTGGCTGCAAATAGGCGTCCGAACCCCGGGCACTGAAACGCAAGACAGATTCGGACTTGCCAATTGAACGGACGTGCCAGTGCATAGTTTTCGCGGAACCGTGGATATTCAAACTATTCAGCATGACGATCTGACGACGCAAAACAAGATTGATCCAAATGGGAGAAACATGACATGGTTTGGATTCCCGATCTTCCTGGACCCCAAGGCCTAGCCTAACCCACAGGATCTACCCCAAAAACCTTGCAACCATGAATGTGCTTATATAATTTATATGCCTTGGACCTACGGGAATTGTGCGTTGTTTTTTGCGACTGCCGCGTGCCCAGCCTAATCTCATCTCCCCATAAACTCCACCCCAATATTTTGTTGCCCGGGCGAACTTCCACGGAACTAACCCCTCCCCTACGACTTTGAATTGAGCCAACAGTAAACCAATACTAAACTTCTGACAGCCCTTAGTAGGGAGCACTTTCCTCGTCAAACTGATGCCCACCAAGTTTGATGAAAGTTGTATTTCTACCCCCGTGGACACACTGGAGGGGAGTACATTTGCCTGTGGGAAAACAAGGTACTGCATAGTTCTTTCCCAAAGCAACTGCTGATTTTTAGGGGAGGGAGGGGGACAGGAGATTCCACACGACTCACGACTCCGCAAACGAATCTGAGATGTCAAAAGTTCGTTCGTTCAGATTCCCGGTTACAAGTGGATCTTAGATTTTCCCAGAGAAATTACGACGACGACCCAGATCACAGCCCTGCTTCCTCGCGCTGAGGCTTTCCCCGAAGGCCTCAACGCCCAGTACCGACTGCTCCGAAGACTTCTCGGAGCTCTCCCAAGAGTCCCAGTGGTGACTCAAGGCGCTTTCCATCCGCCGAGGCCCCTCAAAGCTGCGATTTCAAGCTCGACGCAAACAAAAAGCAAAGCATCTGAGTTTTGAAAGATCTCATGCCTATTTCAGGCATTATTCTTTCTCCTCGTGTTTTTTTCTTTTTTACGGAGCTGCAAGAAACCGCAGATTTCGCGGGCGCTCGGATTTTCCAAGCTTAATGTTCCACAGCACAGTTATGGCGCCTGCTTGTTGCCTGGTATGTCGCTCTTCCAAAACCGTTGCGAGGTTCCCCAAGATGTCGCCCGAACGGCGGCACAGCATTGTGGAGTGGGGTTCATGCGCCGAGATCGCCTTAGTGTGCGGTGGGTGGTGTCCATCAGGCTGACCCAAGGGTCCTTGCTAGGTTGCTCTTCCCCCTAGTCGCTACAAGTCTATCACCTTTTGTGGGTTTGCTGGAGCTAAGTTTGCTCCCAGCAGAACAGGTCTTAGGCGCGTTTGGGGTCACACGAAAGACCGGCTATGCTTGATATTCTCTGTTGCCCAGTGGTGCGTTTTTTTTTTTTTTTTTTTTTTTTTCTTTTTCTAAACTCAACCAACAAAACAGATGCCATTATTTTTTCCCATGGCCATTGCAGGTTTCTCCAAAGCGAAGCCCATAAAACCGCAAGTGGAGATGCTTTTGGGCAGCGACAGATCAAATAGTCCCTGGTTCGAGTCTCTGAAGTTACCGGGGAATATGTGTGTTCAACGGGTGCGATTTTTGGGGGTGTTTCTTAAGGGACACCAAAAGCAAACAACCCATTTGTTGGGTTCCACTATTTTGACATATCCCTACATTTCAAGCGTGGGGGCGTTGTTTGATTGTTGAATAGGAAGCCAAACGGGAGCCAGCCAATGTTCTTGTTGGCGCTCCTTTGAACCCCTATGTGCAGATTGACCTCTGGCTGGGCCTAACCTATTGGACCCCGCACGAAGCACAGCCTTGAGAACTGGTGTCCATATATCTCTTGTTGCCGTAGTCTGGAACCGTGACTATACCTCTCAGAGCCTTTTCCAAAATTTTCGTTCAGAGGCACATTAGCAACCAACGATCTTTCTGGGAACAAACTTTCGTCCAGCATCTACAGCAACACTTGCAATTTTCGGGATTTCAAGCGGGAGAACCAGAGGGGAACACCGACGAATGCAGGCAACTTGCGGGACCGTAAGGCGGTAGTCAAGTCTTCCGCGGCGCTCTTTTTCCGCGCCGAACTCACCGCGATGCGGACCAAGGCTCTTAGAACATGCATGGCTTGAGTTTAGCCCGGGTGCTAAATAGCCCATTAAGTTTAGTTTACCCAAGAAGTACGGTCTGTTTTCAGACTTTTTGTACCACCCAGTTCGAAAATGTGTGGTTTGTTTTGGACTCTGCTCCGTGCGTGATCAGAGCCGTATCGCTAATGTGCTGCCGCGGAGACTTGTAGACCTAGCAAGTTCGATGCAAGTCTGATCATGGCCCCTGGAATCCGCACACACATGGACGCCCACACGGTTCGTCCATCATGGGCTTGCCAGTCAAACTCTCGGATGTTGAAAGCTTTGCTCGTTGGAGATCGTCGTAGATGTGGGTTTACTGCTTTTTAAGTTAATTTGTTCGAGCTTGCCAATTTCTGCTCTTGACTCTTGACACACGCAGAATACTACCCAGAAGGTGTGTTGCTTGCAAACATGCATGCGGCAGCACACATTCATTCACTGTTGCTCACAGTGACTTCGGTCCATGGCCATCTGCTCTACCGTATTTTCTTGTGAAGGCAGTAATGTGGCCATGTTTCAAATCCAATGGTACCATTTTGGGATAGGTGCACTGCCCATTTTAGTCTATTTTAGTTGGGATTGGGATGTTGACTGGGGGGTTTTGACCCATGGCCATTTGTTTCCACCATGATCACAATATTTGGTCGAGAGGGAACCGTCCGCCCACTTGAGGTTGCTGCAGGTCTTCCAATCTTCCATTTGCTCAAGAATTCACGTGCTTTCCCCCCTGCTGGTTTTAAAAGGAATTTATCACTACTGGAAATATGGTCATTCTTTCCAGGGACTTAGGCGCATGCAAGATCAATCCACGTGATTTTACGGTGATGCTCTTGATCCCCGTGCTTCGGTCCATGATGTGACACAGGTGCAAACCTCTTGCGCAAATTCATACGAGTGCTTAAGGCAGCGGATGCATCATGCTGCCAAAAGCATATACATGGACGTGGTATTCCTGACATTTACCGTAATTCCTTACTTCATAAAAAAAAAAAGCCACTTCTTTGCTTGGTCAACCTTTGTTCCTTCTGCATATTTTGAAGTGGCATTATCGTTGTTCCTTCTGCAATGAAGCCTGCCAATTTTTCTGAACCTTGACTTGCAATGTGCGAGTGTTTTGGGTAGAACACTCAAATCAACCTGACCAATAACACATTCTGGCCAAGCAAGCCTGACCCTGCAAATGTGCAATGAGTATGTTGCCCCGAGCGAGACATTCTTCTTTCCCATTTGTTGACGGAATGATGTTTGCTTACAAAGGTCGTTCTGACATATGGCCATGGTTCAAAACCAATCAGGCGCACCACCCACTTTAGGCCTTTTTAGTGGGGATTGGGATGTTCACGGGGGGTACGATTTGGGTGTTGACCCACACCGCCATACCGATTTCAGCCAGTCATTCGGCCCACGGTCGATATGCCCTCATACTGCGGAAGCCAGGTGCCTCGGTCACATGTGTAGCCGTGACGTAGAGCCCCCAGTGCACAGAGCCGGACTTGTTTTCAGTGAATGGACAGTTCTCCATTGAGTTTGCTTCTTAGATGCCTTTCCTCGCAGGGATTCTTTTCACTTACCAGGTCGCCCAGTAGTCCCCTTTTACCCTTTTTTGGGGGAGGGGTTCCCTTACTAACATAGACGACAGAGAAAAGGTTACCCTTATTCTAACCTCTCTACTGGAGGACCTAGCATACATTATTTATAAGCTTGTTACGCACAATCCGAAAGGGTCACGTAGCACCGCTACTGTTAAACGTTCAGGGCAGCAGGCTAGGCAGCGAACGCCTGTGTTTGCGTGCTGCCTTGTACAGAGCTTTTGCCGTGGACACATAACTCGCGGCAAAAGCTCAGTGTCTCAATTTTGAGGGTTTTGTATTACACCCTGGGATCACACCCTTGGGCAATGACCCAATATGGTTCAGAATAACGCGGTTTTATCCAGACATGTGCCTAAATGGGGTCAATACCCAGTGGGTGTATTCCCAGGGTGTAGTACAAACACCCTTAGATCAATGGTCAGTGGGTGCAGCGGGTTCTGTGTCACACCGTTGAAGTGACCCACTGGCGGGGTCGTACCTATTCTAGAGTTGCATGGTTTGAATGAGCTTGTCCTGTCGTTGCCGTGTTTGTCCCAAGCATGATCAATGGTCATTGTGGTTCTGGTGTTCTAGATTGGGGGCTTAGGGTTGCGATTGTCATCGTCCTTGTCATCGCATTGGAGTTGCGTTGCCTGCATGAGTGTGTATGTGTGTGTCTGTGCGTGTGCATGTGTGTGTGTGTGTGTGCGTGTGTGTGTGTGTGTGTGTGTGTGTGTGTGTGTGTGTGTGTGTGTGTGTGTGTGTGTGTGTGTGTGTGTGTGTGTGTGTGTGTGTGTGTCCTGGAGCACGGACGGAAATTCCACATTGCAGGGGGACTGGAGCCGATTTGCCTATCCAGTCCAATGAAGCTACGGCATTTCGGTGGATACCGGATCTGATCAATCCGGCGTACCTGCCTATTTCCTGACCCTCTTTCCTGATTCTTTTTGCGGTTTCTGTTTGTCGCTGTTGCTTCCTGTTCGGTGTCGATGTTGTGACCTGTTGATTTGCATTTGCATTCAAGCATTTTTACTGACTGCGTTTTGCATCTCGGCTAGTGAAGCCTCTCGAGATAAGTGTGTTTACCCACGGCCTGTCCGACATGGCGCTGTGGGCTGGACTCGCCATATGCGGGAGCCCCCTGCGAGGGGAAGACCGTTCAAGTGTTCAAGTTCAAGCTGCAGTTCAGTTCAGCGCGTTTGACCACGATCAAGGCTGCAGCTTGAGGTCTTAAGGTATTCCGCACCCAAATGGTGCTCTGCTGGTTTCATGCGCCTGCACTGCCTGCACTGCCTGCCTTTGAAGCAAGGCTGCACCCACGAGGTTTCAGGCTCCTAAGCTTCATGCGCCAGTGACGAGTTGGTCATACACCAACTCTGCAATTCGTAGCGTTCATGGAAGCTTTCGTCTCGGATGAGTTCAGTTCAGATTCATCGGCATAGCCACATGAGCCACATGAGGCACTTTCATGAGGCCACTTGACAGGCACCTCTGAGAACCCCTGTGTGCTCGCATGCATTTCTGTGAAAACTTTTGCCGTTGCCGCGGGGTTTTGGCGGTCCCCTGGTGGAATTCCCTCTGTTTGGTTTCGATTCGCAGGTTGAAGTTGGCTCGCATGCATTTGCACCTTTGACGCTTTTTGCTGCAGGTGTGGTTTTGTTTTCACCCCTTTCCAACCTTCTCTCTCCCTTGCGAGATGGCTGGACACCAGCTCTATGACATGATGCATTCGCTCCTGCACAGCATTGCGACCGGCACCGCGTCCGGCTCACCAGGCAATTGTGGACCGAACTTGCAGCTGTCATCCCAGATGACGCAGCCCATGAACCTTGTACCGTCGCCCAACTCGCAGACGGCATCCTTCACACCTTTCCCCATGATGCCCTACGGCGGCCTCTCGAATTTTGGCAACCCGATGGCCATGATGCCCTACGGTGGCCCTCCCAATTACGGCAACTTGGCACCTGGCACCATCATGCCTTTTATGACTCAGAGCAGCATGCCATCTTCACTGCCCGAGCCTCAGCCGGCGCGCGCGCCCGAAGCTGCCGCTGCGGCTCCTGCCGCTACCTCCTCAACCAACCACCCTCCCCCGGACACTCGGCACCCTCCCCACTCTCGCAGATCCCGTTCCCGCCACAGGCAGCACCGACACTCCCACTCCCACACCAGCCACCATCGCAGGCACAACAAGTCGCACCGACGACACGACACCCG